GGTACTGTACCCCAGTGTTATACAGTGACAGACCTGTCCCCACCGGCACTGTACCCCAGTGTTGTACTTGGGAAACAGAAATCCCAGATTACAGTCTGAAGACAGGGTACCAAATTGCTCACTGTGGGCTTTAAAAACCAACAAACTCCTGAAGGGTTATTGACTTTTGTTTTAATAAGTAACCTGATAGTCATTACAAACACTATTTACATGAATGCTTATTCAAACAGGAACCCAAAGGATGTGTCCAAAGGAGATGTAGCCTGCAACAAATTGCTGATTGGTCTGTTGATCAGTGACCAGTTACTGATGACAAAGGCCTTCTGCCTGCCAACAAATATGTGATTGGTTCTCAGGTTGGTGAACAGATTGGGACTTTGAACAAGATGTGAAAAGCCATCAGACCTCCAGCAACTCAAGACTTCTGTGTGCACTCTGAAGAAGTCACTGTAAGCTTGAGGAAAGCCAGATTATCTTTCTTCAGCAATTGCTGTAAGTGGTGATGTTTAATTAATGTATCAGAGACCTTTTTAATGTATGAACCAGTCACCCTGTCCTCTTGTAAACCAGTGGAAGCATCTGGAGAAGAATGATCCAAAAGCAACATTCTGATCAGCACAAGAATCATAATTAGCAGATCAGAATGTTGCTTCTAGATCATTCTTCTCCAGATTCCTTTCCCTGTTTCCCTGCATCCTTAAAACCCATGTTTCTTACCACGTGCATCTAAGGGGAAGTTTATAAAAGGGTTAAAGTTTTAACTAGTAGAGTCACATGTTGACTGCTCATAATCGTTTACCTGCACCTACAGTCTGTTAATTTGTAATTGTTTTTTATTCATTCACCGAATGTGGACATCACTCGCCAGCATTTATTGCCCATCCCTAATTGCCCAGAGGGCAGTTAAGAGTCAACCACATTGCTGTGGGTCTGGAGTCATATGTAGGACAGACCAGGTAAGGACGGCACATGTCATTCCCGAAGGGCATTAGCGAACCAGAGGGTTTTCCCTGACAATTGACAATGGATTCATGGTCATCATTAGACCCTTAATTTCAGATTTTTAATTCAATTCAAATTCCAGGATACAAACCTTGGTTCACAGATCATTGCCAGAATCTCTTGATTAAAAGTCTAGCAGTAATACCATATGCCATTGCTTTATTACTTTATTAGGGGATGCGAAGTAATTACTTATAAAGTAGGTAATCCAATCCAAATAAAGTAATTCTTGTTAAGCACAGAAACCTGGTCCTGTGCTTTCTGCAGACCCGAGTCAGTTAGTCATGTAAATTGGATAATTCTGCTTACTTTTCAAAGTCTATAACATTTATGACAATTCCAGGAATAGCAAGGCTTGACTTCAATATGCTAACCAGATGAACATAGAACATTACAGTGCAGTACAGGCCCTTCGGCCCTCGATGTGGCATAAGGGAGGCAGCCTCACAGGGTAGATACTGAGACAATATTTCCTCTTGAGAGTGGCACAGTGGTTAGTACTGTGGCCTCACAGCACCAGGGACCTGGGTTTAATACCACCCTCAGCCAACTGTCTGTGTGGAGTTTGCACATTCTCCGTGTCTGTGTGGGTTTTCTCCAGGTGCTCCATTTTCCTCCCACAGTCAAAAGATGTGTAGGTTAGGTGGATTAGCCATGGGAAAATGCAGGGTTACAGAGGTAGTGGTGGCCGTGGGACTGGGAGGGATGCTGTTTGGCATGTTGGTGAAGTCGATGGACCGAATGGCCTGCTTCCACACAGTGGGGAGTCTATGGGGGAAATGTGGGGACAGAGTTTCAAAATAAGGGATTTTCAAGTTATGCATTACAGGGTCATTACATTTTGGAATTCTCTAACCCAGAAAGAGTGGGGCCTGGCTGATTCAATCTATTCAAGGTTGAGTTTGATTTTTGTTTGATCAGGATGTTAAGGTTTATGTAAAGTGGAATCGAGGCCACAAGGGAAGGTGATGGCCCAATGGTATTATCGCTTTACTGTTAATCTAGAGACCCGGATAACGTTCTGGGAACCCGAGTTCAAATCCCAGCACAGCATCATTCACCCACATCATAACTGGGAGATCAAACAGGCCACTGTGAAATTTAATAAATAGATAGATCATCAGTGACTTGCATGGAAGCCATCAAATTATATGAAAAGTTAACTTCATCTGTCAAACAAGAATCATTTCTGAAAAAAAATTCTCAAAAATCATATTTGAAACCAAATTGAAGGCACAGTGTCAGACATGGGCAAAATTTCCAGGAGATTCATCACTGGACACCAGGTGGACTCCGCTAACAACAAGCACAAAAAAAATCAGGGAAATCAAATCATAGCAAGTTACAGCAAATTCACTTACACTCACATGTACTACAACCTTTTTTTATAATTTAAAATGAAATTCATCCAGATGACACTCCACCAACAAAAACTGGCCCACCCATTGGGTTAGATGGTCAGATCTAAACAAATGCACCTTCTCAGGAACAGATCTTCAAACTTGGTTATTTAGTCATAATTGATACATTTCAAATGTCTTCATTTCAAAATGTATTACACTTACTGAGAAGCTGACTGGTGTGGACTGTTAGCCTTAAAATTTATTCTCCTCGATGTAAAATCAGAACACACACAGATGAAAGACTTGGTAAGTACTAAGACTGTATATTTCTTAGAGATAATAATTTTCTGCTGCATGGTTATCACTTTCAAAATATTACCAACTGCTGCCTTTTAGTACAAACAGAAACACATTATGTTCCTTTGCATTCACTGGAGATTTAGTGCTGGTGATGATGCAACTAATTTTGCACTGCAATCCAACAAATATAACTTTCTCATTGTCCCATGAAGGAAATTTAATCCAGCAGTCTCTTAAATGACATGAATCAAATGAGTAAGAAGGACCCCTACATGAAGGGGAGGGGATGGAAGGGGAGGGGATGGAAGGGTA